AAAAAAAAAAAAAAGGAAAATATTTGAAACAGGTAGCCAACTTGAGTGTTTCTATATGCTTGATTAGTACCTTCTCTTTATAAAGTAATCCTTAATTAAATTATTTTTCTTTCTCTTCTTTTTATCTTACTCAGGGGAAAAAAAGATATTCTAGTGGCATAAATAAAGGCTTGGAATATAGAAAAATTAGATTTTAATGAAATTCTTTTGTTTCTGGAAAAACTAGACTGATGATCTAAATATAGAGGCTTTGTTTTGTCAAGTACAGAAAAATGCAAATGTTTCTATAGGTAACAAGAAAAAGAAAAGGTTTTATGACTTTTCTTTGGAAATTACCAAATTGACAGGTTCCCTCCATCCACTCCCACCTTCCGTCTAATCGCTCTTTGAATTTGGCAGAAGTAGAAAAGAATATTATGAAAACCTTTAACGTTTTGCTCATGGCCAAGGCAGTGAGCTCAGAGCTCTGCTCCTTCATGGTTTTATCTGAATGTCACTTCAAGAACCAGCAAGTTACAACAGGTGCTTTGGGCCCTCTGAGGTTTAGGTGGCAGAAAGAAGTTGAATAAATGGAAGTAGAATCCTATGAAAAGAGAAAAAACTAGAAGCTCATGCCTGGCTACTGGCAGGTTGCAACACCATCCTTCTATGTGAAGAGCATCATAATAAAGACCATTTCTACGGAGAAATCTGTCATTCTCGAGTTCTAGCTTGCTTGCATGTATGTCCATTGTAGCCTTCTGTGGTGACAGTAAACCAATTATTTTGAGGTGATTTTCAGTGTTGTGACCGCATAAGTTTTATGCGTTCATACCTTTGTACTAGAATGTGGGAGAGAACACAAAATATCTAGGCTGTTAAGAATATGAGAATATTATTATGTTTTATTCTCTGCAGGCTTATTGAGCAAATGGAATCTTATTCCTTAACTTTGGACAATGAACGAGTGTTGGAACCTAATATAGCAATACAGTCTGTTAATATCACTTCCGAAAACATTGAGGGGTCTACCGGTGTTCTCTTCTCTGTGCTGAAAGGTGAGCTGTTTGTCTCATGCACACAGAATGTCCTGGTACCAATCACGAATAATGCTCTATTCCTGAAAATGTAGACTTCATACACTTCATTATTTTTTTCTTCTCATAGGAACCAGTAGTTCCTTTGCTTCTGGTTCAACATCTATAGAAAGAAATGTGAGCAGCCTTAATCCAAGTGAACAGACTGAACTTCAGATCTTGCTCAATACTACGAGAAGTAAGTCTCAAACTTTGTTACATTAAAAGACAAATCCAGAATCATGGAATTAATAACTTAAAACCCACAGAGGGAAAAAAATAACATCTACTTAGTTTTACAGTGAAAAATCTGCATTTGATTACGTTTGAGCTCTGACATATGGTAATCTGAACTCTCCTTTTCTAGGTCATAGAGATGATTATTTCTTTTTTTTTTCTTTTCAAAAACTTGATGGAGAATAGCAGAATGGAAGTGCTCCTGTGTGCACAATTCTGGTTTTCTACAAAAATCTTTCTAAAATATTCAGTTTCACACTTAGGCTTTTTTTTTTTTTTTTTGAGAGTTTTTTTGTTATAGGGGTTGTGAGCTCGCTGGACAGAGAAAGACAGAGACACAAAGTGAGAAATCACCTCCCAGGGGAATGGCCACATTGCAATCTCTCCTCCTTCATTTTCCTCTTGGGATCTTGGGCACACATGGACATGTGCCTGGTGTGAGTTTTAAGCTGCTGTATCCGGGACTTAAAACTGCTGTGGGTTACATGGGAGTCCAGCAACATAACCATTATGCCATCTGATGGTTCCACACTTACATATTTTAAAAAACATTCGGTCACAAGCTTTGTCCATATTTTCAGTGTCGTGACACTCACAGGTTCAGCTGCATCTGGTAGACCTACCCTTGGAACCATTCGTGTAACTAGCACAGCCATTGTTTAGTAGTATCAGCTTTAGGTTAGCTCCTGTACATTGTGCCCAGCATGAGCTTTCTATCATTTTGCAGACTGTCCTCCAAAAATTGTTATGAGTGGCTTGAAATAGTTATATTTTCAAAGTATATATTAAATTAAAAAAAGAGAAAGAAATACAGTAAATCAAACCCACACACTTTTGCTTTTCTTCACTCTCCAAAGAAAAATATCCAGTGCAACAAAGTGCATATTTTAGAAATAATAAATTCCTAATTGTACTGAGAAAGAAGAAAGAGTATCATTCATGGATCTGTCATGCTGTAGGATTTTGTTTCCATTTGCCTTGACCACATGTGGTTTCCTAGATGTAGGAAATGAAATCTAAGTCCTTTATAAGCTCTTTTGCATTTTCTCTTTCAATTTAAAAATATTTTACTCAGAGAGAGAAGTAAAGAAAATAATGAAAGCAGCACCTCGGTACCCACCAGCAAGGTTTGCTACATATGCTTCAGATTTCTTTTTTTTAAAAAAAGATAACAGCTACACTCTAAGGTCTTTTCAGTTGACTCTTCTGATCTCATCTTTCTAGAAATTATTAGGATCTTAAAATAGTTCACGGAAAAATGGGTATTATGAAAAACTCTGCATGGATTTCAAAATTACATCAAAGGAAACTCACACTTCATTTCTATTTTCCACAAACTTTTGGAGGATCCTTGTATGTCTTTCTGAAGTTGCGTTTATCACTTGCATGGTTTTCTTTAAAGTTTTGATATTCATAAGCTAAATATCCTACTATTGGAAAATTTTAAATATTTACATAAATGGTATGGCACTTGCTTTTTAAAATTTAACATTTTTGGAGGTTTATTCATGTGTGTTATCAAGCTCATTATCTTTTGCTTGTCTGAAACAGATGTTATTTTGCTAGTATGAAACAGATGTTATTTTCCTTTTACAGCTTGGAAGTTCAATGGTATGTTATTGCTGGTGGATTTTTCTCTCCCTTAATTTGAGCATTTTTCCAGGTGCTAGTGGACATTTGGATTTCATGTTCTCCCATTTGTTCAAATCCTGTGATCATTTTGCTTTTAGATTGCTTGTCTTCTTCATCATGATCATTAGATATTCTTTATGAATTCTCTATACCAATTCTTTCTGGTTATATAAGTTGCAAATATCTTCTTTCTAGTCAGTAGCTATCTTTCCCTTAGCTTTCAAAGTCTATTGTCATACCACATTATATATGTATTCTATATCTATGTATTAATCTTTTCCTCTATAATTTGTACTTTGCGTATTTAAAAGCATATTTTTTCTCATCCTACAGTTACCATGATAGTCTCCTGTTTTTTTCTTTTTCTTTTTTCTTGTTAATTCCCAGAGGGCCCATGAACTAACCAAAGACAGAATGGGAAAAAGCACCCCCAGTGCGACATGGGCATGCTTCGTCTTGTCAGGATTTAGGACATGTGTTTTTCAACCACTGGTCAAGGTTCGAGCTACAGTTGGCTGTGTGGGATCCAGCTCCCTTAACCACTAGGCTATGAGGCTTGCCCAATAGTCTTCTATTTTCTTCTGAATATTTTTAGTGTTTGTTTTTGTATTTAGGCCTTCAGTGCATCTAGAATTTATTTTTGTGTTGAAGAGAGGTAGGAATCTAATTTTTATTCCATATAAATAATATAGTCCAATGTGTTTAAAACACTGTTAAGAGACAGAGATTCAGATTGGATTGACAGGGATATGTTTTTGTATTGATAAAGAAAAGTAGTCTCTGGCCTGGCTTCTAGGCCTGGTAGTGAGGGCAGCTGGATTACAACATGGCTGACCACATGATTCAAATCCTGGATCTGGTGACTTGAGAAACACAACAGGTGCAAATGTGTGTGTGCCCAAAATCCCAGGAGAGAGAAATAGAGGAGAAGGAATTGGCAGCATGACCATTCCCTAGGGTGGGGTGCTTTCTCTTTTGCCTCTCTTTCTGTGTCTTTGTCTCTCTCTGGCAAGCACATGTCCATTCTAGAAAAAAAGAAAAAAGAAAAAGAACCTAGTCTTCAAAAACCTATATTTAGGAACCAGCAGATGGCATAATGGTTATATTGCTGGACTCCCACGTAGCTGACTGTGGTTCGAGTCCTGGACTTGGTGGCTTAAAATTCATGCCAGGGACATGTGTGTGTGTGCCCAAGATCTCAACTAGACTGTTAAACACCAATTACTCACAGACTGTAAATTTTTTGTTATTCTCTCTTCATATTCTTTGATGAATTTTATTTTTGCTGTTAGATTTCCTACATAAGGATTTACTTTCAAAACTAATAGTAGTTCTTTTTTTTTTTTTGAGAGGTTTTTGCTATAGGGCACGTGCACTCACCAGACACACACAGAGAGAGAGAGACAGACAGACAGACAGACAGAAAGCGAGAAATCACCCCCCAGGGGGGATGGCCACACCATAGTCCCTTCTCTTTCATTCTCCTCTCAGGATCTTGGGCACACACGCACACACTCCTGGCGTGAGTTTAAGCCACCAGGTCCGGGACTCGAAGCACAGTCGACTACATGCGAGTCCAGCGACTTTTCCATTATGCCAACTGCTGATCCCAAAACCCTATATTTTTAATTATTTGCTCTCCTAAAATTATATTATTAAAATGTATAATAAAAAATATTGGAGATACAGGGGTAATTGACCAAAATGCTAACATAGGAAGAGATTTTCATTGCAATCATCCTTGAAATTGAAGGTCACATAGATAGAAATAACTAACAAACTTCATCTTTTAAATATTTGCATGTTTCTTGGAGACAGAAAAATATATCATAAAAATTCTTATTAGATATCTATTGACTACATTAAAAATTGACCATTATTTAGGCTAATATAATCATAAAAGTTATATAAGACTTAATGCCTGACATCAGTGCAGCCAAGTTAGAAATGTATCATTAAAAATTAGCCAAGGGACCAGCAGCTGGCATAATGACTATGTCTCTGGATTCCCATGTAGTCAACCGCGGTTTGAGTCCTGGACCCAGTGGCTTAAATTCACACCGGGCGCGTGCGCGTGCGTGCCCAAGATCCTGAGAGGAGAATGGAGGAGAAGGGATTGTGGTGTGGCCATCCCTCATGGGGGGTGATTTCTCATTTTCTGTCTTTCTGTCTTTCTGGCGAGCGTGTGCACCCTTTAGCAAAAATCTCTTTAAAAAAAATTAGCCAAAATTAGAGGGCCAGCAGGTGGTATGGTGGTTAAGGTGTTGGATTCCCACATGGTCCACCATTGAGTTTGAGTCCCAGACCTCATGGTTTGGTTACTTATTTTCTCTGTCTCTGTCTCTCTCTGGTGAGCTCATATATCCTATGGCAAATTAAATAAAAATAATGGTAATAATAAATAAATTATGTAATTTTAAAAATAGCCAAAATTTTGTTCAATTAAAATATTTTTTAAGGTTTTTGCCATAGGGCACATGTGCTTGGCACAGAGAAACAGAGAGACGGAAAGTGATAAATCACTTAACATCCAAGAGGGATGGTCACATTACAATCTTGTCTCCTCCATTCTCCTCTTGAGAATTTGGCAGGCATGCACCTTAACCATCACACCATCTGCTGGGCCTGCAATTAGAAAATTTTAAAACAACATTGTTAGAAAATTAAAGTACAGATTACAAATTAGTTGAAAATTACTAGCCATAAGGACACCACATATCAAAACCTATGGGATGGGACAAAGCGGCAATTAAAGAAAAGTATATATACTTTTCTAAATTTATTAGAAAATAAAAGAATATGTTAAAATTATCTAATAATTCAGCTTGAGATGTATAAAAATAAAATAAATGTAAGGAAAACTAAAGGAATTAATAAATGTAAAAGTAGAATTTAATGAAAATAAAAATGAACAGGAGCCAGATGGTGGTACGGTAGTAAAATGGGCTGCTCTGTGAGGCAGGTCCATGCGGGGAGGTTACTGGCTTGTGTCCAGAGACCTCACTGAGTATACAGGACACATGTGCACCTGTGATCCAGGCTGGCTGACACTGGGGATCAGGCATGGGATCAGGACCCTGCCAGGGGTTCCGTAGTCCTTTCTCTCTACGTCACTCTCATTCATGGAATAAATACACTTAAAAAAGAGGAGGACAATTCATTTTAAAAAATGATCAAATGTTAGACCTTGTCAACAATATGAAAAATCACCTTCATGAAAAGACTAATGAAAAAAGCAAACTCCTGACAAATTTGATCCAAGAAAGAGAGAGACAAAGAGCAAGTGAGAGAGAATATAAAGAACTATTGAGGAGGTATAGCTAACAATATGGAGATTTAAAACACATGTGAGCAGATAACAAATGTAATTTCTTTTCATGAATCTGAATATCTACGAAAGTTATGATTTTTCAAATAAGTGACCAAAATACTGTAGGGTTGAGAGGAAGGACTCTCTTTTAAAGAAAAAAATTTATATACTTTAGATTTGAATTTTACAACGTGTCGTCTTTAAACAAATGGGAAAAAAAAAGATAAAAGAATCCTCACTGTATTTTTAGGGTTAACTTTGTCATCTTGTGTTCAGGAAGAATAATTTGGTGAGGTCAACGTGTCATGACAATAAGTCAGAAACCCACAGAAGACAGGGGAGGATATTTTGGAGTCTGTGGGGATCCTGCCTGACTCCTGCTCTCCCTCTTTTTAATTATTACTATTATTTTTTAGGTTTTTGCCATAGGGTATATGCGCTTGCTGGAGAGAGACTAAGAGGGAAACAGAAATCACCACCCAGGGGTGATAGCTATGCCACAGTCCCTTCTTCCCCATTCTTCTCCTGGGAGTGTGGGTATGCACACACACACACACACACACACACACACGCACACACACATAGCGTGATTTTTAAGTCATCGGGTCCAGGACTTGAACTGTGGTCGACCTTGTGGGAGTCCAGTGCCTTAACCATCTCACCACCCACAGGCCTCTTGCTCTCTGTCTTTAATTACATGATAAAGAGGCTGGTTTCCCCACCACTTTCAGTTTTCCTTATCATTAGGGAAAGAAAAAACTGCCAGGACCCTCTCAGCAGAACACGTTTTTTCTGAAGGGGGCGGGGCTGTGGGTTAGAAATAAACAAACGCACAAAGACATACAAGTACAGAAAAACCAGAATCGGGTGGGCCCAACTTCTCTGATGGAGAAAGCTGCGACTTCGAACTGGCCTCAGGTTTATTCTTTCGAAGGGCAGAAAATGGGGAAGAGGAAGTAGAAGGCCAAGCCAGTTGCTTTTGGATGTTAATCGTCTGAAGATGCGAAAACGACTGGCGCCATGTAGTTTCTCTGATCTTTTGGGGTTGAGTCTGATAAACACACGTGACTTCCCTTAACCTGACACTGCTTGGCCAGCAGTATCGATTAACAGCCCACATTAACAGCCCACAGCTACCATGTTCGTATGTTAATTGCTTTCATTGCCACGGAAATAACAGCTCACAGAACCAGAGCTGCGTTTCTGCATGTATCTGAAGGTCACCACGTTTGCTCACAATAGCTCCTCTCCATAGAAGTGTGTGAAGAATTAATTCATTAAAAACATATGCTTGTTTCTCCTGCTATTTTCAGTATAGCCAATGACTGTACAAAGTGTTAGGAGGACTTCCTCCGCTGGTTATGTCTGACCTCTGCCCGGTCAGGCCTGGTGGAAAACCCTCCACTGCACCATGCTCTCTCAGCATCATTCATAAACTCCAGGTAACTTTTCCCAATGTCCTGAAGAAATATTTCACAATAGCCTCCAGCCTTGATGGTCACAAAATAGCAGAGACTGATCATGGTAAAGGGTATGTGACCCAGGAACCTATTGAAAGAGTTACTTACTCACTTGTGATGTCACAGGACTAAGTCCCTGCTCAATCCCTTTGAACAGGAGATAGACCTCACGGAGCACTTCTCTAGGCACAACCTTCTGGGTGTTCACCCTTGGCCGTTTCTTCTCTAATGTCTTATTAGTGGAAGAAAGGGCATGGGCTGGGGCTACCCGCACATTACACTCACTGCATCTTGCTGCACAGAAAGCAAGATGCTTACTTTATGCATGAGGTTTTTGCAACACCCCCTTGAGATGCATTAGGCAGAAAGTATTGTTCCCATCTAGCAGGTAAGGAGGCTGAATCTCAGCAGGAAAAATTAACATGGTGGAGTGGCCAACCACAGGTCCTATGTGTTAATTGCATATTGAACTAATAAAAAGTTAAAGCAGCAAACAATTTTTATTGTACTTTACTCAAATATTAAGCAGTCATGTAGTTTAGCAATGACATGAGACTTTGTTTCTCATTTATTCTGGAGTTCATTTATTGATTTTTATGTCTCTTTTCCCCTAAAGAAAACACCACGGCATGTGGATTTGTTGTGTATCAAAATAACAAGCTTTTCCAATCAAAACGTTTTATAGCTAAGTCAAATTTTAGCCAAAAAATCATCTCCAGCACAACGGGTAAAAAGCAAAATCAGACTGCTTCTGTCGAGATGGTCTTTAGCCCAAAGGTGAGTTTTCCCATTACTGAAAATAAATTCAGCCCACTCTTGATTATACAAGTAGGGATAGTTTGAATAAAAGTGGAGGAAAAACTCTGTGAAAGAGTCTTTGAAGGATTCATTTAAATATTTCTCCTACCCACATCTTCTGTCCAACTAGCTAAATGCCAAGTGAAATAATTTGAATTTTATAGCCTTTCTCCCTTCCCTAATTTAAAATGAAGATACTAATGCTTACATAGTTCATTTTCAAATTTTATTCTATTTGATTTTTTTCTACCCAATTAAGCATCAAACATGTCAGTAATTGTAATTGTCTTATTAATTCTCAGTACAACCCAGGAGAATTCCGACTTCATTCCTATGCTTGTGCCTATTGGGATATTTTAAAAAAGGATTGGGATACGTATGGCTGTCACAAAGTCAGGGACACTGGTGGGTTCCTGCGCTGCCGCTGTAACCATACTACTAATTTTGCTGTATTAATGGTAAGAACGTACACAGTAATCGTTTTATAGACAAGAACCTTCCTTATAAACAATTCAGCAATGATTCCATTTGACTGAGTCACAAGTTCTGAAGCATGAAGCTGTTGTTACAGAGGTAAAGCTGCAGAGCTGGGTGTTGGAGATGGGTTTGATACATGCTTAGGTATATGTGCACAGTAGATAAGTTGCCTAAGACTTTTTCTATCGGAATCAGCCAAGTTACTCATTTTGTTAGGAGATGGCAAAGAAAAAGCACTTGAATTTATTGAATCTGTCCCATAGTTCCCACATGTATTCCTTAATTCTTTTAAACTCCAAAGCTATCCTGTGCAAGTAACCGCTAACACTTCTCAGCTCTGATACACAGCTATATATACATCTTGGAAAATTCTTGGGCTGACTTTTACGAAGAGGGGCTTCTGTGTGTTCCATTTCCAGATACCTGGTATTCTGGTGAAACCAAAATAGTGTATAGACTTGATGGAGTGTTTGTATTTGCATGAAATGGGAGGTATGTCCAGTGCCCCTCTACTCCTGATGGGCTGTTGAAGCTGTGCATCTTACCCAGAGAAGCAGACGTTTCCATTCCACAATAGCTTTGATGTATTTGTATTTGGAGGGCAGTCAAATGTAGTTCAGTACAGACTATTAAAGCATAGAATGTTGCTTTTTAACAAAATTTGAGATTTTCTCATTTTAATGACCAAATCTCTTTTATTCTGACTTTGATTACTTTTATAACTCACATTGCAGAGAGAACTCTTTTCTCAATCATAGGATACCAAAGATAAATATTGGCATTTTTGATATCTTCAAGTCATAATATCATTATTTAGTTGTGTAAAATTCAAGTTGTTAAATAAATTACATGATACGATTATTTTGTCATAGTTATCTTTCTTTTTTGAAGTCAGTCTTCTATTTATTCTCAATAATATCTGAGTTGCCTAATGCCTACCTACCCACATTTGCGATTAATTCTGTGTTGTGATATTTAAAGAAAAAAAAGGCTGATTAGAATTATATGGAGGGTAAGAGTGGATAGGCTCTGAGTGAATGCATGACTTCTGAGACCTGAATAGCTATGTATTCAATGATTCTTTATGTGTCTACTTAGCATCCTATACACAGGAAATAACAAGAAATTTTTGTTTTATTATTTTTTAAAATAAAAGTTCTTATGTTTCTTTTTACAAAAGCAATATATACTCATTTTATAAGGTATAAAGTTTACCTGTAGAACAGAAATATACTGATATGGAAAGTGTTTGTGATACAATAGCACTTCAAACATTAACTTGTTGTGTTAACAAACCCCTATATAGTGGTATGAGAGACATAGATAATATTCGTAAGCACATTTAAACATGCTACCTCTGGAGAAAAGACAGGATTTTAAGAAGTAGAGTATGTGGGCTAGCAGAGGGCATAGTGGTTACGTCACTGGACTCCCACACGGCCAGCTGCAGTTTGAATCCCAGACACAGTGGCTTGAAAATCATGTGGGGCATGTGTATGTGTGTGCCCAAGATCCCAAGAGGAGAATAGAGGAGAAGGATTGCAAGCATGGCCATCCCCCCTGGGGTGTGATTTCTCACTTTCTCTCACACTGTGTCTGTCTCTCTTTCTCGCAAGTATACATGAAAGCAAATGCCTCTCAAAAAGAAAGAAACAAGGGAACCAGCAGTTAGCGTAATGGCTCTTTCTCTGGACTCCCACGTAGTCGACCGTGGTTCGCGTCCCGGACCCGGTGGCTTAAAACTCACGCCAGGCGCGTGTACGTGGGTGCCCAAGATCCTGAGAGGAGAATGGAAGAGAAGGGATTGCGGCGTGACCATCCCCCCTGGGGGGTGATTTCTCGCTTTCTGTCTCTATGTCTCTGTCTGTCTGGAGAGCGCACGCGCCCTATAGCGAAAACCTCTCAAAAAAAAAAAAAAGAAAGAAAGAAAGAAAGAAACAAAAAAAGTAGAGTGTGGTGTGAGGGAGTTGGCAGTAAAGAGAAACAGAATTTTTATTATGTTTCTGTATTACTTTCTCCTTTTTAAAAGAATTATTTATTTATTTATTTATTTCCATTTGGTATTATTATTAATTTTGGCATACATGAGAGAGAGAGAGAGAGAAAGGAGAAGTGAGACCAAGTCTGAGACTTGAACCATGGTTGGCCATGTGGGAGTCCAGTGCTTTTAACCACCACATCACCTGCCAGCCCCATGTATTACTTTCATATTTTACACATAAGCATACATTGCATTTATAATTTTTTCTTTTTTTGAGAGAGAGATTTTTGCTATAGAACATGTATGCTCACTAGAGCGACAGAGAGAATGAGAGACAGAAAGCAAGAAGGCACCCCTCAGGGGAATGGTCATGCCACAATCCCTTCTCCTCCATTCTCTTAGAATTTTGGGCACACACGCACATATGCCTGGCATGAGTTTTAAGCCCCAGGGTCTGGGACTTGAACCATGGTCAACTACATGGGAGTCCAGAGATGTAACCATTATGCCGTTTGCTGGCCCTGCATTTCTAATTATAACAATTTATAAAAATGATAAATTACAGATAAGTGAAAAGAACTATGTGTATCTACCCTCTAATTACTATCATTACTATCTCTCCAGATTTTTTTTCTTCAAATTTTTTTTCATACACTTGCGAAAGAGAGACACAGAGAGAGAGAAGGTGGAAAAGTAAGAAAGTACCTTTCATGGGTGATGGCTATGTTGCCATCCCTTCTCTTCCATTTTTCCTTTTTGGATTTTGAGCATGCACACACATATACCTGGCGTGGTTTTTGTTTGTTTGTTTGTTTTGGAGAGGTTTTTGCTATAGGGTGCGTGCAGTCTCCAGAAAAACAGAGAGAGACAGAAAGCGAGAAGTCACCCACCAGGGTGGGATGGTCATGCTGCAGTCCCTTCTTCTCCATTCTCCTCTCAGGATCTTGGGCACGCAAACACATGCACCTGGTGTGAGTTTAAGCCACCAGGTCCGGACTTGAACCGCGGTTGACTACATGGGAGTCCAATGACATAGCCATTACACTAACTGCTGGTCCCCTGGCATGTTTTTTAAGCTGCTGGGTCTGGGACTCAAACTGTGGAATCAACCATATGGAATCAAGCCACCTTAACTACCATGCCACCAGCCAGCACTCTCTCTAGATTTCTAATAGTACATAATCTCACACAAAATATATTGTTCTATGCATAAATACTAACATACTGGGATAGGTGTAGATATATTAAACAAGTGAGGTGTGTTTCTTTCTTTCTTTCTTTTTTTTTTTTGCAATAGGTCGCATGCACTCGCCAGACAGAGAGAGACAGAGAGACAGAAAGTGAGAAATGACCCCCCAGGGGAGATGGCCACGCCGCAATCTCTTGTCCTCCATTCCCCTCTCGGGATCTTGGGCATGCACGTGCACGCGCCTGGCGTGAGTTTAAGCCACCGGGTCCGGGACTTGAACCGCAGTCGACTACGTGGGAGTCCAGCGACATAGCCATTACGCTAACTGCTGGTCCTGTTTTTTTTTTTGTTTTTTTTTTAACTAACAGTCTCATATGAACATCCTCCCATGTCCATGAGAATCTTTTCTGCAGTTTTATCTTTAGTGATTAGCTTAGGTATGCTTGGAGTATAGTTACACATAAAAATAAGAACAGATAAAGGAAACAACTCTACGCAATTTAGATAGAATATAAACAACTTTGGTTTAAGACACTGAGAAAAATTATGTATATGTTCTCTGACTGAATTAGATAATTGTTCTCAAGGCTCTAGTTTGCATGGAGGCTTAGAGATAAGATGCTAAATTTATCTCATTTTTAAATATATCAAAAGCGTGATAAAAATAAGACGTAGCTGGCAACTCTCTGGTTATTTTTGGCAATGTAATGCTTCATGACATTGACTTTCACTGACATTTCAGGAATGGTTATTTAAAAATATGTGTTTTCACTTATTTTCTAGACTTTCCAAAAGGATGTTCAGTACCCTGACTCACTAGACAAATTATCTCAAGTTGGATGTGCACTGTCCATTACCGGTCTGGTTCTCACAATTATATTTCAGATTGCCACCAGGTAAGAAGGGAAGCAGGTGCTTCTTATAAGAGAAATTGCTATCTTGACACAAGTTACTCTGAGTATATTCTCATCAGAATACTGGGACCAGCAGATGGTGTAATGGTTATGTTGCTGGACTCCCACATAATGGACCACAGTTCTAGTCTCAGACTCGGTGGCTTGAAACTCAGGGTACATGTGCGTGCCCATGATCCCGAGAGGTGAATGGGAAAGGGATTGTACTGTGGACATCTCCCCAGGGGGTGATTTCTTGCTTTATGTCTGTCTCTGTCTGTCTCTGTCTCTCCAGTGAGTACATGCACCCTAAAGAAAAAAATTGCTCTAAAAAAACAAAAACAAAAACAAACAAGTGTAACGGTTATGTTGCTGAACTCCCATGTAGTCAACTACAGTTCAAGTCCCGGACTTGGTAACTTAAAACACACCAGGTAGGGATGTGTGTGTGTGTGTCCAAGATCCCAAGAGGAGAATGGAGGAGAAGGGATTGCAGCATGGCCATCCCCATAGGGGTGATTTCTCATTTTCTATCTCTTTCTTTCTAGTGAGCACACATGTCCTATAGCAAAACCCTCTCTCAAAAAAAAAAAAAAAAAAAAAAAAAAAAAAAGAAAAGAAAAAAGAATAGTCTCTCTGAACTACAGGGAATTATGGATTCAATTCAACATGCTCATTTTTTGCCTTAGAGTCGTGCACTCTCCTTAGAAAGAGAGAGAGATAGAGAGAAACAGACACAGTGCAAGGAAAAGTGAGAAATCACCCCCCCAGGGGGGTGGTCATGCCCTAATCCCTTTTCCTTCATTTTCCTCCTAGTATCTTGGGCATGCAAGCACATGCCCTTAGCGTGATTTTTCAAGCCACTGGGTCCTGGACTCAAACGGTGATCAGCCATGTGGGAGTTCAGCAAAGTAACTGCCATGCCCTCTGCTGGTCCCTCAGCATATTTGCTGTACAGAAGAGGATGCTCAGGTCTGCAGAGGCTAAGAAATACACACAAATAAATATATAATTATAAATTGTGTCAATTGCCTTGAAGGAAAATTGCATGCCACATAATTACAAATTTGTCTTGTAAAATTAACGTGGTCCTGCAGCTCATTAATTCCACAGTCCCTTAGTTTTTAATAGAACTATGTTTGCCAATTTGGATTTGTAAAAGAAACACTGCTAAATAGCAAATTTTAAAAAATAAATGTTAAATTCTATACAATTTTCAGGTAGTGAAATGTTAAAAAATATTTGAATTCCATAGGTTTTAAAATGTTATTTTTAAGTATGAGAAGCCTTTTTCTTAGAGAGAGATGGGGAACAGAGAGAGAGAGAGAGAGAGATAAGTACCTCCAGAAGGCTCCTCACACCGTGATCCACCCTTGGTCTGTCAGCCTGGATCACGGCATGTGTTTGTGTGTGTACCTGGCATGCACATGGAGTTCCTATGACATGAACCCAAGACATTCCCATGTTGTTCCAGTTGCATTACTGATTTGGCACCACCTGGCCCCATAGTTTTGAAAAATAATCTAATTATAAATAATTATCTTTAAATATACATTTATTTCCACCTGTCCTCTTCACTCAAGGTTCAGTTTTGCATCCCATTCATTTTTTCTCACATGCTACATTTTAAACACTCTCTAATCTTTTGTAAAATTTTTATAAAGTTCATCTACTTGTTTACTGTCTGTTTTCCACAGCAGCATAAACATTTGTGAGGACCATGACTCCTCTGATGTTGTTGTTGCTGTTTATTCTGTTTCGCTTTCATCACTGTAACCCCAGGGCAGAACATGTACCCAGACGATAGTAAAGGAGTACCCATGGAATAAAAGGTCTATAGAGCATGCCCATCTGGCTCTCCCCTTAATTGTACCCAGCCGATAGTCAAGGAGTACCCGTGGAATAAAAGGTCTATTGAGCATGCCCATCTGGCTCTCCCCTTAATCTTGAGGTGTCTCGAGATAAACTCATCTTTCCTTCAGGATCATTTCTCCTTTCTAAAATTCTTCACAACCATTTTCTCAGATGTGCAGAGTCAGAACTTTTAGTTTTAAAGTACTGCTTTTTAAAAATGTCCCATCGTTTTATGTTAAAAAAAAAAAAGACTCACAAAAAATTGAAAGAGAACATCAGACTCCCATATACGCTTCACCTAGATTTTCCCAAATATTAACATTTTGCTTTGTCTTATTTTCTACTTTTCCCCCAGATTTTTAAAAGCAAGTTATACACACCATGACAGTTATCTCTAAATGATTAAAGTAATTTTTTCCATGACAGAGAGAGAGAGAGATAGCATCACCAACTGTCTTGACACCGTGGTCCTCAGCCAGCTCCAGCTCATGGGCATGAGCATGTCAATCAGCCAGCTCCAGCTCATGGGCATGAGCATGCCAGGCATCTCAGAGAGGTCTCTGAACATGGACCAGGACTTCCCACGTGGTGCCGGGCATCTCAGGGAGGCCTCTGAACATGGACCAGGACCTCCCACGTAGTGCCGGGCATCTCAGGGAGGCCTCTGAACATGGACCAGGACCTCCCATGTGGTGCCTGGTGTCAGAGAGGTCTCTGAACATGGACCAGGACCTCCCACATGGTGCCGGGCATCTCAGAGAGGTCTCTGAACGTGGACCAGGACCTCCCACGTGGTGCCTGGCATCTCAGAGAGGTCTCTGAACATGGACCAGGACCTCCCATGTGGGTCAGCCTCACAGAGCCTTCTCTTTTAACTCTACGTCATGGTCCTTCTCCCTGTCATCATTAAATTTTTAAATTCATATCTCCTAAGAACAAAAGCATTTTCTTACATGGCATAGTACTATCTCCACTCAGAAAATTGAATTCAATAAATTTACTGTTAATATTATTGTATTAATATTTAATCCACATTAAAATCTCTCCAACTGTCCCAGGTATGACCATTATAGCTAGTCTCCCCCTGCCATTTCATCCAGTTGTCATGTCTTTTTTTTTTTTTTTGCTATAGGACGTATGTGCTCGCCAGACAGACAGAGAGAGACAGAGAGACAGAAAGCGAGAAATCACCCCCCAGGGGGGATGGCCACACCGCAATCCCGCTCCTCTATTCTCCTCTCAGGATCCTAGGCATGCACGCACACGTGCCCGGCGTGAGTTTAAGCCACCGGGTCCGGGACTTGAGCCGCAGTCGACTACGTGGGAGTCCAGCAACATAGCCCTTACGCTAACTGCTGGTCCCAGTTGTCATGTCTTTTTATTCTCCTTTAGCTCAGAATAATTTCTCTTTCTTTGTTTGTTATGGTCTTTCATGACACTGTTTTTGTTTGTTTGTTTGTTTTTGAGAGGTTTTTGCTATAGGGCACATGCACTTGCCAGAAAGACAGAGAGACAGAAAGCGAGAAATCACCTGCCAGGGGGGATGGCCACACTGCAATCCCTTCTCCTCCATTCTCTCGGGATCTCGGGCATGTATGCACACGCGGTTGGTGTGAGTTTAAGCCACGAGACTCGAAGCACGGTCAACTATATGGGAGTCCAGCGACATAGCCATTATGCCAACTGCTGGTCCGACACTGATTTTTTTATAAAGCATTTAAGCTAATTGCTTTGAAGAGTGTTCAATGATTATAGAATTTATCTGAAATTTTTCTCATGTTTAGAAACAGGTTAAATATTTTTGGTGGGAATACAGCATTGAATCTTTTTCAGCGTGACACAAGCAAGTTCATGATACTCAGTTTGTCCCATTATTGGTTGTAAATTTGATTTCTTTGTTTAAAGTGACATATACCAGATTTTTACATTGTGAAGATTCATTTTTTTCTGTTAGCAAATCCTAAGTAATCCATGGGATACTGCTTTAGCATCGTGTGATGCCCTGTTTTCCAATCATCTGTTACACTATGATTTTGGTGTCCACTGATGACCTTTACTGAAATTATTCCGTCAGTGATTAAAAAATGACGAGCTTCTCATCTATATTTATTTAATATACTCTTTTGCAAAACCTGCACATCCTTGTGTAGATGAAGAATGCTCCTTCATGCTGTTTTGTCATGTGTCAGTCAGCCTTGAAGCACACCCTTACTTCAATCACAGGAAATAATGAGCTCACCTTTCATGCCCTCTGACCCATTTCTGAACCAGCTATTTCTCCCAAAAGCCAGATTTTTTTTCCAAGATAAAATCTTTTTTTTTTTTAAATATAATTACTTATTTTTTAATTCATTTATTTTCAATTTGACCAGAGAAAGACACAGAGAGAGAAAGACTGAGAAAGCAAGCTGCCAGGTCTGGGACTCAAACCGTGGTCAGCCATGTGGGAGTGTCCAGCACCTTAACCACCACGCCACCTGCTGGTCCCAAGATAAAATCGTATTGGGTCACACTTCTCCTGCGTGAGCCTCTGAAATAGCTGGGACCACAGGCGCACCCCCACACCCCAGCTCCAAGCTTCTGATCCTCCTGCCTCAGCCCCCTGAGTCTCTGGGATTACAAGCACATGACTACACCTGACTTCTTAGGATGGACCAAGAAGTGAACCTGGGTCTCCCATGTGGGCCCAGCCTCCAGACCACAGCTTCTTAGTAGCATGTGCCACTGCGCTGAGCCCAGAGTTGTTTTTGATTCTTTTATTTCACTTTCTACACTAAATAAGTCTTTTTTTTTTTTTTTTTGAGAGAGAGAGAGAGAAACTTTTGCTATAGGGCACATGTGGTTGCTGGGGAGACAGAGAGAGACAGAGAGACAGACAGTGAGAAAACACCCCCCAGGGGGAAGGCCACGCTGCAATCCCTTCTTCTCCATCCTCCGCTCGGGATCATGGGCATGCACGCACGTGCCAGGCGTGAGTTTAAGCCACTGGGTCTGGGACTAGAACTGCTGTTGACTACGTGGGAGTCCAGTGACATACCCATTATGACATCTGCTGGTCCCCTCACTTACACATTTTATATATGCATATTTTAAGCTTTATTCTTTAGTCATATTAGAGTTGTGTGCCTGCACATGAGAGAGAGAGAGAGAGAGAGAGACGAGCCCCCTCCACAAGGTCCAGTCATGGTGCTATTCCCTTCCTCCAGCCGTCAGATTCGGGGTGCTGGTGTGTGCACCTTGTATAACTCAGGCAGACTGGACCAAGGGTTCAAACCACAGTTGCCAGATGGGATCCTGCTTCTCTTGAACAGCACATTATCACCGGTCATAAACTTCTATACTGAGTGCTGATTATGTGCCAAGCGCCACGTGAGGATCTGAATACAGAACTATGACCAAGACAGATATGCTGTCATTCCCCATGGAATTTATATTCTCAAGTGGGGAGAGGGTGACAGACATAGCACAAATTATACACACAGGTAAATACATAGTCACAAATTGTGGCAAGTGCCTGAAGGAAAGGTACTTGCCTTGTAATTATGAGTTTGTCACATAAAATTAGATTTCTTCTCTATTTGTCCCCTCATTCATTTTTCTACCATCACCACAGTGTACTGAGAATTTTTTGGTTCCATATAGATAAGTTGTAGTTTACTGTTTAACTAGATTTTTTTTGCCTAACATTTCACTCCTTTCATTTGTCTTTAGATTTTTTAAAGTATTATTTTATTTAACTTTATTTATTATAATAATAATTATTATTTTCCAGTTTGATCAAACACATACACACACACACACACACACACACACACACACAGAGCGAGAGAGAGAGAGAGGGAAAGTGAAAGCAAACCACCAGGTCTAGGACTTGAACTGCAGTTGACCATGTGGGAAGGAGTTCAGTGCTCTTAACCACCATGCCACCTGCTGGCCCCTTTTTCTTCCTCTTCTTCTTTTTTTAAATTAGTGTATTTCCTAGTACAATTCTGCAACCATAAATGCCACTATAATTCACCAGGAAATGAAAACAAAAATAAAGAAAAATTTTATTGATTTAAAAATACTCAATCAAATAGTTTTTTTAAATTGTTGTTGCTGTCCATAGTTAGGTTTCCATATAATAATAATGCATAGATTATAGTAATATTTTATAAGAAGGGACAGGCTATTTGAAAATATTCTGTCCTTTCTGTGGATTGTAACTTATGCTAAAAATTAAGCAAATGTTTGCAGCTCTGTTCATTAAACCTTTCAAAAAAACAATAAAACCGAGTCACTGAAGTAATCTCAACTAAAATGCTAAGAAGACAGAATGAGTTCTGTTTGAATATAAACTGCTTACTTGGTGTGGCAATCCCAAGACTGAGAAAGCTCAGGATGGGGCATCATAAAACCATAAAGGATGATATAATGGGCAAACAGACTTGTTCATCAAATTCTGGGATATTAAGAATAGAGAGGGGGACCAGCAGTTAGCTTAAAGGCTATGTCGCTGGACTCCCATGTAGTCGACCGTGGTTCGAGTCCTGGACCCGGTGGCTTAAACTCACGCTGGGTGTGTGTACGTGTGTGCCCAAGATCCCAAGAGGAAAATGGAGGAAAAGGGACTGTGGCGTGGCCATCCCTGGGGAGTGATTTCTCGCTTTCTGTCTCTCTGTC